GGGGGGGGGGGGCAGCATGGTGCCCATACGCACTGCATTGGAAACTGCTGATCTCGTGAGATTTCTTTCTATGCAATAAGACAAGTGGCTTGTTTCCCCATGCTAAAGGGGGGGAAAGACACACACACACACACACACCCCCCCACCCACCCTCATCTTGTATTCAGGTAAATATGGTAATAAAAATCTCCATCTAGATGCAACATTTTTACAAATGATAAATACTTACCCAAAAGGTTTGGCAATAATCAGATGCAAGTTGTGTACCAGTTTATATTATGTAACTACTTACAGCATTAAGACAACTCGCATACATTTCTACTGATTACCCATTAGAACAAATGTAGAATAAATATTTTACTTGGGAGTAGATTTTACCATGCTTCAGGTAAGAAACTGGCTGAATGACTTGGAGTTGCACCAAAAGTCTTTAAATCCATAAGAGAGAGGTTAAATCTCAGATAAATTAAATATCACTTTAACAATATGCTTAAAACAAAACCAACATCTACAGTCTGCCTGTACAGCAATATATGCAATTGTGGTCCCCTTTGGTATAGATGTTTACTACATGAACTCTTTTTGAACAACTTTGGTACCTAAAAGCTGAAATCATTCTAGATGACAATTATTTGGTGTCTGAAAGCTGGCAAATTTACCACCATTTTAGTTAAGGATACAAACAAGTCACTTGAGATAGTAATGAGAACATGTTTTGCCTTAAGAGCCACATCTACAGTAGGGCTCCCACCAGCCCTACCAATGCAACTGAACCAGTGGAAGGGGGAGAGGGGGAGGGAGCAACTTTTCAAGGGTAAAATGACAGCTTTAACAGTGGCTCCCAACTTGGCATTTATAGCTAGCAATCTGACCAGTATCATACTACACACTCGGATTTTGCACTTGGACCATGTTCATGAAGACCACCAAACTCTTCAAGTACACTGAAATGGCTGAAGTCCAAGCACCATAACCACAAACCACAAAGCCCCTAATTATGAGGACTTCCAACAATATTTTAAACACAGTCCTGACTGCTACACTACTCTCTCTCTCTCTCTCAGGCTCAAAATCATCAGGTATAGCAAAGTGCCTATCAAATTACTTCTGGGCCTTCCAGTCCTTTCATCACACACCCAGAATTACTACAGCCATCTACAAGACCTTAAGAAGCAGCTCTAACAATGATGCTGTCAATAGATCCTGCCTGGGCCCTTAATAAAGAACTTGGTAATCATTACTTAACTCCTGGAAAGGCAACCCATGATTTGAGAGAGCCAGATCAAGGACAAAAAAAATAAAATAAATATCAATTCTAAACTGTTCCAAAGACCTTGCAATCATTACTAGCACCCTCATGCACATCCCTCCATCCCTGCTATTGTTTGTCACATTCCTATGCTGTGTTTTAAAGAGAATGAATCAGGAACTTGATTTTCTCTACTTTTACAGTGTTCAAAGTCCTATTCCTAGATGTGGCTTTTGAATACTACATAGCACTAAAGAGTGACATCCCACAGCCACACAGTTGGGTCTGTCCTGCTTCTATGACTGACACGCTGAGAAGCTTGGGAAAAAACTGGAAGTTTAGTGTCTCATATTACAACATCAAGAAATCAGGAGAGTTAAAGGCATGTTTTAACCTTCTTTTTTATGCAATTAACTGTAAAAGAGGTTTCACAGTCCTTCCTCTGTTATAGAAGGTTCCTTTATAAAACTTTTCAAGATGGTGAGTTAAAGTAGTTTCATCCCTTTAACATGTGCATGTAATTTACATTAATGGCAGTAGTACATACACATCAAGAAGGATGATGTAGAAGATCTACCCTTACTGAAGAACATAAGAGATGCCATACAAATTTTGACCAACTATATTTAGTCATAAGACAATCTAAGACCACAAAAAAGCAAAAATTTAAGGGACCTATCATAAAAAAGTTAGACTAAATGATTTGGCAGCTCTTTCCACCCTTACATCCTACAAAAGGGGTGGGCAAAATGTGGCCTGGGGGCTGGATGCAGCCTGCCAGGCTATTCTATCCACCTGCAGGGCCCTGAAAATATTAAATTTTCTAAATTTTTATCTGCCCCTGGCTGCCTATCATGCGGCCCTCCATGGCTTGCCAAAACTCAGTAAGCAGCCCTCCGTCCAAAATAATTGCCCACCCCTGTCCTACAAGAACACTTATCCAAATTAATACAAAACTTTAAGAAACTAAAAGTCAGTATTCCGGTAAATTCTCTCTTTTCTCCTAGGGTTACTATATTTAAGGGAAAAAAAAGTTCCAGTATTTAAAGTCCACTAATTTCACTGTTTAATTCATTTATACAAAATGCATAAAGTACTTTGAACTGCATATATGATAAATAAACCTGCCTGGCTTATTATTTAGAACAAAGAAAATAGTAATTGAAGCGAGTGACTAACAATCCTATAAAATGAAATATTTGAACTTCAAAAATAATTTTTTTAATTCTCAAGTTACTATCAAGTTTGTTTGTTTTTTTTTTACCTACAGTAGTATGTATGCAAAGACGCATGATAAGATCCAAGGTATTTATATTGTAGTAACTTTATGAACTCTGACCTAACTGTAAAAAAAAATTAAGAGCCAAAATAAGTACGCAGCAGTATAATTCATGACTGTCTGTAAACTGTAAAGCAAGTCTTATTCACACAAGCAGCCCCAATTCCTTCAGCAGAACTTCTCAAATTAGCAATCTGCAGGACTCAACTTGCTACAGCAGCTGTCATCACTTGTTTTACCACACTGAAGAGTATTTTAATGCTTTTATAAACATGCTCTTCGATACATGTCTACAGATAAGTTTCTCTATCCACTTCACTCCCACCACTACAAAAATAAGTGCTGAACTAAATTCCTTGGAACAAAAGCAACTTTATATTTGATTAGGGAAGGACAAGCTTTTTAAAACTTATGATTACATTTTAAAAACATATTTTGCATAATTTACCTTTTCAAACAAAAATGTATATTACATTTTTAAAATGTAAGTTAAACCATTAAATTTACCAGCACACACAAATGCCATATTTGGAAGTGACAACTGGTATTACAAATCATGTGAACGAAAATAAAACTTGAATATTAAATATACTGAAGTCTATTAAAAACTAGCTAGCCCATTGCTGTAGAACAAAACTTATTTAGAGTACTGCTCAGTTTTTATTTTTGGTTTCTCTTCTTTCGCACAAGCAAGACATCTTTCAGAGAATATTTTAGATGCAAGCAAACATGTCTGGCTGAAGCCAACCCTGAAGTTTCTTTACTTGTCTTCATTAACACATACTAGCAGTCCATTAGTTTAACTAACTCAGCATTACCTTAATACTGAGAGCCCAGTTAATGTATTTGACCAAGTGTCAGCATTACAACTACACAGCATTTCAAATATTTTAGTCAACAGGCATATTTTCTTCAACATACTCGAATCATCTCTGTTATTATCTACATGCTCTATTTCAACTTCGAGTATCTAGCCTTCACAGCTGTGAAGATAATTGTGACCGGAGTGCATAAGAGAGCCCGTTTTGCATGCTCTACCATAAACACAGCCCGAAACAATGTTATGTCTTCAGTGAAGGCACCCAAACTGCTGTCCAGACAAGACTGATACAAAAGAATGAAGTCCTATGCATTTTTCACCTCCATTAAAGGCCTACCAAAACATCTGAATATAACCATTAAAGTGATTATCAACAGAATTAGTTAATACACAGCTGGGAATCTGGAAGTTGGAGCAGGTTGAAAAATGCAGAAAAAAGTAGCAAGCCCTGAATTTATGCCCCAGTCCACAGCCTATAATTTAAAAAACAAAATTAATCCCTCTTCACAAAACGTGTTTCCCCTCTAATTTCAGACTGTTAGGTACATCTTTACAAAAAAGACACTCATCTATTTAACTCTGAATGACATGAAGGAAGCATCAGCAGCAGCTTCCACTCCTGCCTCAAGCCTCTACACATCAGTATTACATTTATAATTCAAGCAACTCCATCCATCTACTTTCACATACAGCAGCAACCTCCTCAAAGCTTCCAAAGCCCCCAGGTATATTTTGTATGCAAGAGCCAGGAATCTGGGGCCAACAAAGATGATAGGGTTTCAGAGTCACCATGTCCTAGGTTGCTGGACTTACTCTGAAGATATTTACAGCCAATATCTGTACTGCTTGAAACACCTCAGACACCTGGAAAATGAGTTGAGCGGGAGTGTAAAGTGAGCTATTACAGTGGAAACAAGACTCTCGCTTTGCACTAATCTCCTTAACAGCTCCTTGGTTATTAAAGTGTAATATTTAGATTAAACAGTTTTAAAATGAAAGGCTTAATTCAGAGCTAGATGCCAGTCACTCGTACTACTGACACAGGTAAGCACTACAGAGCTCATACAGCGAAGCCAGGCACCAACGCAATCCTCACCGTCTACTGTAGGAAGAAAGCCCTCAGATTCCTAAAAATAACTCTATTAACGCCCCACAAACCTCTCCAAGTGACCTGAAAGTTTAGCTACCGCTGGATTTCTCTCTCACTCGGAAGCCAAGAGGAAGCGGCGAGCTGTGCTGTGCTGTGCCATGCTCGAACCAACCTCACGTTACTCGGGTCTGTTGGAAATGTTCCCAGCTCATCCGTTCAGCCCGACCTCGAGTGAAGGCGTTTCCCGCCGCCCGCCCGGCAGCGCGGGGCTCCGCCACCCCGGGCCGGGCCCGACCCACCCCAGCCACCAGGAGTTTGCTCCTGCTGCGACTCCTCCAGCCCGGCCTGTCCCGGGCTACAGACCGCACAAAGCGGGGACGCAGAGTCAGCAGCCGGGCTGCTCAGTACGGCCGGGGGTTGGGCACGGGGAGCTGCAGGCCACGGCTCCCCATCGCCGCTGCCGGGCCCGGGACCAGAAGAGGACGGCGAGGGACCGAGCGGGGCTGCCTGAAGGCCGGGAGGCAGAGGAGCCTTTTCCTCCCGAGCGGCTCCCCGGGGCAGGGCGGGGCCTGAGCCTCGGCCGCCTGGTCACTGGGCG